AAGAGAGAGGAGTAGTGAGTGTACGGTCCGGCATATTAAATATACGCCAGGGTAACGTTCTCGCAGTAGCGCCGCGGGGGACATAGACCACCAGAGCGTACTGATAGCTGAGTAGGGTCTATGTCCCCCAGGATCTGCCAGAACGTACCCTGGGGTAACGGTCCTAGTAAAGTCGTGAACGTAGCCTGGATTAACTATCTAAGGCTGATATGTTAGGCGTTAGTTTAGGGTCTAGGGAGCAGTTGCGTAGGCGACTTCCCTACGAGCCTCGTTAGTGGAAATAGCGAGGTATATCGGTCGTGCCGGCATAATTAGAATAGTAGTATTTAGTACCAGGATATCGTTCGCGAGGCACTGTCGTACCACCAGACTGAAAAGAAAAAGAAATGCCACGACATGATAATGGTTCATAATCTCATAACTCCTGCTGCCTCCACAATCATATCAGGAGTAGATAATAGAAGTAGATAAACCCTATCCTCCTGGGTTTGGGTTACATTATTGTATCTAGTACCTCGCCTACTCCACTAACGAGTCTAGGGAGTCGCCTACGCCTACTCCCTAACACTAACCCTAACCATATCAGCTAGATAGTTACCAGGGTACGTTCCGGTATACCGGACCGTACCCAGGGTACGTTCTGGCAGTACCCTGTGGGACATATACCCTAGCAGCATCAGTATCCCTTGAACCGTAACGCGACTAACGGTGTAGGCCTATATCACTGTTTTTGAAACTGTATGTACAGGCAGTGTCATTGCGATACTGCGAAACGACGGCTTACCGTAATGACAACAAGTTTACGGCCTTCCTCTTTTTGAAGCTGGCTGAATTCTTGCAATTTCAAGCAACTAGATTCCAGATTTTGTGGCCTTTTTTCCACTTCAAAAAATGCCCTAGCAGACATGGACGTGCTTTCAATGGCAATGCACTCAGCCATTGCTCTGTAACATAAATTAAATGATCATGATGCTAGCACAAGTGCTAGTATTGCAGCAGTCAGTGTACCTATTTACCGATATAACTCAAAAATCGCCAAAAAGCACCAATGGGCACTCAAAATCACACAAAAATTATCGATAACAAGCGTCAGAGTTCTAAAACTGATAGTGATAGTGATACTGATAGTGATAGTGATAGAGTATAAAAAGCTCCTCCTACGCTGACAATCTTGTAGACTGGTACCCAATCTTTTCACGACACTAGTTCCCCGTTTCTTAACGTTAGGTAGCGTAGTGGATATAAATAGCAATGACACGATGAACCCATCTATATATACAGAGGGCGTTTTACAGGCAGCGTTGGTAAACATGGCTCTGTCCAGTAGCGCATCGTGTAAGTTTTTACGGTTTGATATAATTACAGAATTAAGTCCGAAGATTTGCAGTGGTTGCATTATATCCCCATTAATACAGGAGAAGGGTATTATATTTAAAGTGTATATATTCAAGTTATGATGGATTCACAATCCTCAATTAATCAGTTAAAAGGCAGGTAACACCGCCCAATTATTGAATTAAGGATATAACAGCTGTCCACATTTGCACATGTTGCACATTTGCAAAAATGAATTGGAGACAGCTCTTATATCCTTGAACCGGTAACACTGGGATAATTTGATGACCAAACCTGAGTTAAATTTGCTTCAACGGGAAAGTTGGATGTTGTGTCCTAATGCTAACTTCGTTTTTGCAGGATTGCTGTTTTATTTGTACTCTATTTGTAGAGTTTATCTATACAGACTACAGTCATCAACAAGTGTCTGCATCT